CGGCTCCTATTCCACTGGCAAGTCAGAATAAAATATTACATCAGGGATTATTAACTGCACAGTTGCTGCAGGTTTACCTTCAGGTATTATTATCTGCAGGTTTACCTTCAGGGATTATTACCTGCAGGTTTACCTTCAGGGATTATTAACTGCAGGTTTACCTTCAGGGATTATTGCCCGCAGGTTTACCTTCAGGGATTATTAACTGCGGTTTACCTTCAGCGATTATTACCTGCAGGGTTACCTTCAGGGATTATTAACTGCACAGTTACTGCCGGTTTGCCTTCAGGGATTATTAACGGCAGGTTTACCTTCAGGGATTATTAACGGCAGGTTTACCTCCAGGGATTATTAACTGCGCAGTTACTGCGGGTTTACCTTCAGGGATTATTAACTGCAGGTTTACCTTCAAATATTGTTAGCTGCAGGCTTACCTTCAGGGATTATGAAAGCTGGTGGGTGTCCCGAGGCTTGCCACTTTACGAGGTTACCTTTCTGTTGGGAAGCAGCGAGTTGATGGTTGTATGAAGCGAACCGCCTCAGGTCCTGAGTTCGAATCTTGACTAAAGCAATCTGCAAACATGGATGCGAAGGGGATTACAGCTTGATCAAGATACATGCAGTCTTTTCTGCTTGGCATGTTCGCGTGTTAAGTTGGAATCTCGCGGTGAGCGTGGCACGGAAATGCGGGCGGATCTAGTTCTTTTCCGGTTCATGCCGGTGCGATTCGTACACGAGAGAGTGCAGTGCAACCGGCCCATTAGCAGCTGCTAGGTTAAATCTGCTGGCTGACTTGACATGAGATAAAGGTCCATAGATTGCTGGCGTCCAGATCTGGTTCGCTTTGGATTCCTATTGTTAGCACAAGACACAGCCGTGCGACCCGGCCGTTAGCAGCCCGCTGAAGATAAACACGAAGGCCGAGCTTCCTTGGTTGACATGGACATGGCGTAACAGCCGTACGATTTCTGGAGTCATGGTCATCCGAGGGTGTGCCCAACATTTGGTGAGGAACGGAGGGGTCAGATATCAACACATGCAATGAGAAGTCGGCAAAGGGCCGGCCGATGAGACCGAAGCGACGAACCAATGAGACCGAAGCCCCGAAGTCTAAAATCGGACACAACTTTATGGATGAGAAAAGCAAGCATCAGTACGTAGTGTTGAAATTGACATGAGGTAGCCGCCGTTGGATTTCCAGAGTCGGGGTCTTCCAAGGGAGCGAAGTAACAATCAGGGAGGAATTGGGTGTGTCTGTCGGGACATCCGTTAAAAATGGAACGATATAGAGAAGGGTAAATTAGCAAATGGCCCCTGCGCAAGGATGACACACATAAATGGAAGAATGGTCCCCCAAGAAAACAAAAAAAGAAAAGAAAGGGATCGGCTGTGTTCTTGGACGTTTAGGTTAGGGGGCGAGGAGTCGATGACTGGATTTAGCATCTTCATTCCACTACCGTCTTCACCCCAATAGAACCCCCGGTCATTATCGCTGCATCTGGACCGAAAGTTGTGTGCCAAATACAGCTATAATGACCGGGCGTTCTATTCGGGTGAAGACGGTAGCGCTTCATTCTACTGGACTAGAGTTGCATTCCACGTTGTCATCACACTGCCGTTTATATAAGAATCTCCGGGGATAGGAAGCTGTTAGTAGTGCTTGTTTGTCAGTGAGGGCGAGGGCAATATTCCACACTGCCGTCTTCACCCGAATAGAAAAAGGCGAGTCATTATGTTTGTTGTGTTTTTGGAGCAACTTCCATTCCATATGCAGTGATAATGACTAGGCGCTCTATTCGGGCGAAGACGGTAGCGTCGGTAGGACTTCTTCAACTGCACTCTGCATGTCATTGCAGTTGGATGCATCCAGGTCTAGGAGTACTTGCAGTCAGATGCATTGAGAAAAGTGCTAGTCTGAGTCTGAGTATGACAGCCAGCCGAAGTGGAACGATCCCCGTCAACCACCGGTCAGATGCATCGAGAAAAAAGTGCTAGTCTCTTTTGTACGAGGCGGAGTCCCGGTGTGCGCCAAGCTTTGCCGAAAGGCCATTGTGTATTTTTGTTTTTGTTTTGGCTGGCGCCACCGGCCATTTTGGTCCGGATACCCCGAGCCTCCGCTTTCTGCTGTTTTTCGGAGAGGCTAAGTCGTGACTCCATTCAATCTCTCAATCATGACTCTCAACCTGGATGGGGGGATGTACGGGTTTTAGGGGGTAAGGGAGGTGGAGGCGGAGTGACTTAGAGAGGATGAATGGATGAGTGGATGGGTGGGATGGGTGGGATGGGTGGATGGGTGGATGGATGGTAGGATGTCAAGTGCAGCTGTGAAGTGAAGGGGGCAAAGATGTGGAGGGGTGGTGATATAGAAGGATGGGTGGGGTAGTAGGGCATCGAGGGAGTGCTGGAGGCTTGGAGCGCTGTTTACGCAAAACGTCGGTTTGTTATTCAAGTGAATGGTTAATCTCGTCTTTCCGCGGGAGACTTCAGTGACAGTGTGACTAGACGGATGAAACTTCGTGAAAGGTTCGGATGAAACTTCATGGAAGGTTCAGAGAACGCCCTGAAGGTTCGCATCCGATTGCAGTGTGACTGGACATTCGAAAGG